GTGTGTGAGATTTTTTTTCCCTCCTATCCTCTTTTAATTCTCCTCTAGTTTATAAACATGCACGCACTTTAATATCCTCATAAACTCTGGCTCAAGACTAAAGCTCATCAGATCAATGACCATGACACAAAAAACTTTGTCTCATTTGCTCCAGAGAGAATGATTCCTCTCAAGACAATTCTCATACCCCTTCCTTCTCCCTTTAAATATTTAGGAGCAAATTGGGGGACAGAGATGTATAAAGACATTAACTGCTAAAGAAGGAAAGTGTGTGTGTGTGTGTGTGTGTGTGTGTGTGTGCGTGTGTGTGTATGTGAGAAAGGACTGAGCTGAAAGCATTTGAATTGTAGCAGACATATATTATTTATATTTAAAATGTACAACTTCATTTGGTATACATATACATTTTGAGATAATCACTATAATCAAGCTACCAAACATATCTATCATTTCACATGGTGACCCTTACGTGTGTGTGTATGATGAGAATCCGTAGGATTTACCCTGTTAGCACATTTTAAGTATGCAGTACTGTATTGCCACCTGTTAAAAAACTTAGGGGTTCAAAAGAGGCCTCCCCAAGATGTGCTACTTTGGCATGTGGATTATTTTGAGCTAATGGCAGTGGAGACCCTGTTAACTCAAGAGAAACTACTGCCCCTCACTTAAGTTCCTAGAAGAATTTAAACTGGGGATTTTTCCCAGAAAAAGAGTTATTAGCAGACATAAAATGGATCGCTTTCTTAGCTTGCCACTTCACACATGAGTCCTAGGAGTGTCTCCCTCCTGCCTCTATATTCCTTGAGTCACTACTTGATTTAGGTCTTCAGTAGATAACACTAAGTTGCTGGGAAGGGCTCAAGATGTATGGGCACATGATGGCCATCTTATCTTTTCTTAGAGTCACCTCTCAAATCCTCCATACCCAGGTGCCAGAATTCTTGCCTTTTTACCCCTGCTCTTCACCCAAAGAACTAGAGTAGTTGGATTTACAGCGTCCTCTGAGACGATCCCCGTCTAGACTATCAGCACATGATTCCCCGTTATTCAAGGAATACTTGACATGAGCTAGGGTTTACAGTGCACCAGAGTTTCTGTAAATACCAACACGTCCGCATCTAATCTTGATGACATATTTCCCATTCCAAGAGAAGAAACAGGATGGCATTGCTACGAACATGCTTTGAAGACAAGTTCTGGATATAAACTAAGCATTCTGACTATAGGACAGGAAAAAGAATTTTCCCTCTATCCTTCTAGGTTCTGAGACCTGGATAAGATCCCCCTGTAATAAGAGATAGATTAACAAGAGAAAATGTTGACCTAAAACAAACAGACTGCCAGTTATTTCTCCAGCAAAAAATAGGTTTATTTGGGATCAGCAAAGAATTGCAATTTGAGGTCTACAACCATGGTGAGCCACATGCAAGTCTCCAGCAAAAATGGAGAGAATTTTATAGAGGAGAAAAGGAAGTTGGGAGGGCTATAGTAAACAGAGCATGGCTTTTTGTTGGCTGAGTTGTGACAGTCTCTTAATTTCTGAGCCAGGAAAGAAGAGGAAATCTCTCTTCTTCCTGTTGGCTCTGCTATCCTCATAGAGCATGAGAGCTCCCCCTTCTGGTCTCCTGACTCTATTTAATTGAGATTTCTATTTATTATTATTATTATTTTTACAAAAAACAAACAGAAGCTTAACAAAATGTATATTTCCTGTATGCTTGGGAGATACCCAAGAAAGCTGACTAAAACTCCCCCAGTGGCCCAAGCTGATACCTCAAATACCATTTTCAGCTAAAGACAAAAGAGGATGTTGGCGATAGTATTACCGGAAGGAAGGAAATTCACCAAAGTTGAAAGGAGCAAATGGTGATAAACAAATATTTGTTGAGCCTTGTAGAGACAGTGGGACAGAGAGAAATTTTAACAAACAGACTTTGCTAGGTTCCTCCCTGTCTACACACCTAGTTCATATTATACTATAATTATCCATGGTGTAACTGTCTTCCTGGAACAAGTCCCCTACCTACATTCTGTCGACTGAAAAAAATGCACAACCTAAAAGATGAGAATTATGTTTTATTTGGTGGACTTACTGAGGACCTAAGCTTGGGAGACAGCCTCTCAGATAGCCTTGAGGGGCTGTTTTGAAGAGGTTAGGGAGGAGCCAGGATATATAGGAGTTTTTAAAAAAAAAAAAAAAACCCAAGAGGTAGTTGGAACATCAAAAGATTACTGTTAATTAAAGAAAAACCAGGCATCTTAAGTTTAATGAATTTAGCACTTTTCTGTGTATAAGAAGATGCAAGAGTCTGGGCTCATTGAAATCTTTCCTTTGAGATGCACCTTGACTATCTAGGGCCAGTATTCTGTTTATCTCCATCCTGAATTCCCCTCAGGGGGCACCGTTGAGGGTGGCTGCAGTGGTTGCTGGCTTGATGGTTTCAATATCCTTTGTTTACTGAAATGGCAGATGGTATTCTTTGTTCATAATTCTTTTAGGTAGTTAGAGGGGAGGTCAATGGTTCTTCCTGAGTCTTGTATGCCGTGATTCTTTTCAGCTCAAAATAATCCACATGCCGAAGTGACACATTTTGGGGAGGCAAATGTTGCTCCCCTCAGAGGCATATTTTGGGGTGGCATATTCCGCTACCCTTTATGGCATTCTGATAACAAGGTGGCCCAGTGAGAAATTCAACCAAGGAGGCTTAGCTAGGAACAGCCCTTGAAGAAATACGTTCATAGGAAACACATTCAAGGATCTCACTTTATCCGCAAACTGTGCCTTTGACTAGATACTTTTCACCTCTCAATGGAAGTCCCACCGTTTACAACTCCAGATGTGGTTTTCCTCACTGAAGTTCCCATGGAACATAGCCATCCAGGGAATTTCCCCTAGAAGTTGGTTGGGAAATGAGTTTAGGAGCCAGATCTCTGGTTGTCTCCTGATAACTCTAGATAACCCCTCTCTGGTGTTACCCAAGGCCTTGCAATTCCTTTATGCCCACAAGTCAGTCTTCGGCGTTTGACACCTTTGCTCCAGGCTATTCTCACAGTGAACCCAAGGAGTCTAGATGAGAAGCTATAGGAACTGGTTCTCTTAGTGAGGCTGTCCCTCGCCCCCACCCCACTGCCAATCAGTTGGAACACTGTACCTCCCACTGCTATTCCTTCCTTCCTTCACTGCTGCAGACTTCTTGGCTCTAAGAAAAGGGGAAAGACACAGACTCTCTGCTCTTTAGATCCATAAACTGATCCCTACTACAGCCAGTGGCAGGAGTGTTGGATCTGAATAGGGTGAGTTACGTTTAGAAGAGTTGGTGCCGAGGATGCTTAGAGGGAAAGGCCCAGGAACACTGTAAGGGGCTTGATTGGACTTCTAGATGGTGGAATTAAGAATAGACAGTGACCCGGGCTTCCCTGGTGGCGCAGTGGTTGAGAGTCCGCCTGCCGATGCAGGGGACACGGGTTCGTGCCCCGGTCCGGGAAGATCCCACATGCCGCGAAGCGGCTGGGCACGTGAGCCATGGCCGCTGAGCCTGCGCATCCGGAGCCTGTGCTCCGCAACGGGAGAGGCCCGCGTACCACACACACACAAAAAAGAATAGACAGTGACTCAACTTGTAAGAACCAAAGACCTGGACTCAACTCAGCGTTAATCTCACTGAAACAGTTCTTGGAGCCTCTCTCCACTCTTCCACCCCTCCCCACTTCTTCTCCAATCTTCCTGAGCATAATACCATTGTCCCTTAGTATCCATGGGGGGCATTGGTCCAGGACCCCCCCATGCCCAGGATACCAAAATCCAAGCTTGCTCAAGTCCCTTATATAAAATGGTGTACGTAGTATTTGCATCTAACATACGCGCATGCTCCTATATGCTTTGATCATCTCTACATTACTTATAATACCTAATACAATGTAAATAACTGTAAATACAATGTAAATGCTATGTAAATAGTTGGCAGCACACAGCAAATTCAAGTTTTACTTTTTAGAACTTTCTGGATTTTTTTTTTGAGGGGGGACTATTTTTAATCCATGGTGTGGTTGGTTGAATTCCTGGGTGCAGAACAAATAGATACAGAGGGCCAACTGTACATTGAAGCAGCTTGAATCCTGGTCTTCTCTTCATCCTATTTAGGCCTTTTGAGCCAGGGGTAGGGTGCCACAAATGAGAACGTGCCTACCCCTTGCGCTCTGTTTGATGGAGTACTTGACATTCTCAGATACGCTCTCAGTACATGTATCTTATTAGCCTCTTACAGGTTTGTGAGGGAGTTATTATTAAGCCCATCTGAGGACATCACACTCAGAGAGTTGAGAATCAGGTTAGAAATTCCACAGGGCCGGGTATACTCCTCATGGTAAATGACGACAGAGAGCTAGTTTAAAGGGAAGACTTTTTCAAGCAACTCTGTGCTCTAATTTTGACCAGAGTAGCTGTTGTGAGGGCAGTTTCAATTTTGGTACTTGATTGATTAGAACAATATTTCAAAACTGGAGTTCCTTTATGATGACCTTCTTAACAATAGATCAAGATCGTTTATAATGATGATAATTAGGGAAGTGGCCTCTGAGAAGGGATGTGGGTAGTCACAAGTGATAACATGTTTCACACAGGCTTTGGGGAAGTGTCTTAAAGAAGTCAAGATCCTGGTAAGCACCATCTTGCAGAGTCAGCGTAGCTGCAGCCTCAGATTTCAAGGAACCAAAGCCTTCCTGCTTCAAAAATATCTCCCAAGTCTCTATTCATCTTCTGTATCCCCTTAAGAGGCAACAACACTTTCCACCTCACAGACATAGGGCTTAAAATACCATTTTCTTTAGGACACATGCTCTTTTGAGAATTGATCTGGGGACTCCCTTGTGGTCCAGTGGGTAGGACTCCGAGCTCCCAATGCAGGGGGCTCAGGTTTGACTCCTGGTCGGGGAACTATAACCCACATGCATGCTGCAACTAAGAAGTCCGCATGCTGCAACTAAGAAGTCCGCATGCTGCAACTAAAAGATCCCGCATGCAGCGACTAAGACCCGGTGCAGCCAAAATAAATAAATAAATATTGAAAAAAAAAAAAAGAATCGATCTGGACTGCAAAACAGCTAGCTAGAGGGTGATTGGTTCCTCAGTTCAGGTGGAAGAGATGGCAGACAGGAGGTACTTGGAATTCTCAAAATGAACTTCATCAGTTTTTTACAACTTTGTGCTTATCTCACTCAGGCTGTAACATATTTTCAGTTCTTATAAACTTTATTATCTAATGAGAGTTATCACCTTCTAGCCTGGGAACCAAATGATAAAATTTGGTTGAAGGGCCTACGTTGGCAGAGAGGAATTTTAAGGTAGAGCTCAGCAGTGCTTCCTCTCTCTTCCCTGTACCCCGACAGGTGGCCCTGGTGACTGAGATGGCATCCTCTCTAAAGGTCCTAGGCCCTCTCTTGGCCCTGCTGTTCCCTCTATGTGGGCTCCTTGTACACAGCCAGAACGTTTCCTGGAGGGAATTCGTGAAACAGCACCACCCTAGCACAAACTGGGAATTCAGCAAGTACAAGTGCAGTGATCTGATGAGGGAAAGAGGTGTTTCAAAAGACGAGAACTATCACATCTTCGTCTATACCGTATGGCACAAGATTGAGCATATATGCATCAGGAACTGGAGAGATCACTACAGAAATGTATATATATGGGCCCCATATCCCTTCAAAACACTCAAGTGCTACCGGAAGAATAGCAAAAACAACTACAAAGATTACAAGAGCTACAGCTACATTGAATTCCATTGTGGCATGAATGGGTTTGTTGATGACATAGAGGACAGGCAGTTGTTAGAGGATATCAGCAACTAGAAAGTTGACCCACACCCACAGGTTTTAGCGTTCAGTGCTTCCCAAGTGGTGGTCCCTCCCTGCACCAAGAGCCCTTGCATTTATTTGCCAATGTTTTGCAACTACTGAGAGTTATGTTTCACGTGGTTTCTTACTATCGTAACTTTGCCTATGTTGTTTCTCTGCCTGGAACACCCTTCTGTCCTTATTTACCTGATTTACTTCTACATTTTTGAAAAGATTCAGCTCATATGGAATCTCTTTTTGACTAACCCAGGAATTTTCCTGATATTGACTCTCCTTATAACTTTGCAAGTGGAATGATCTTCCCATCCCTAAATAAATTTTATCATTCCAATGTGTGAAATTTATTTATGTGTCGTGTGATTAGCACGGGTGTTATAACTGTGAGTTATATAGCTTACGCTTGAATGTGATTTGTGCTGTATGTAGGTTTAAAGTGTATTATATGTGTGTGTCTAATATGTGTAATAGACTTGTGTGTATGATGAAAGTATAACTGTTTATGTGCTAAGCTGGGGAAAAGTTGTGACCTAGGCATTGATTGTGGGGATATGCTGAGTTCCCATACCCACCCAGATTGATGGGTGTGGCCAGAGCTGATTAGGTACAAAATATGTAGCATGTTCCTGGCACGTAGCAGGTGCTCAGTCAACACTGATTTTCTTCCTTTCTATCCTTTGACTTGGTATTTTAATTTTGACTTTGACAAAACAAACATGACGAGTGCCCATCAATTGTCTCCTCTCCCTGGATTTCTTTAAGAATGTCTGTAAGGAGGCTATTGCATTTTAGATGAGTTACGGTAGTATGTATGTTTCCTGATGAATAATACATTAAGTAGAAGATATGAACACAAATGAGTTTATCTGATAAAAACCGTTTTCACTTGGCAGAGATATAGGGTAGGGCTAGAGGACTTTAAAATGAAACTCTCATCAAGAGTGGGGCTTAGGGACTTCCCTGGGCACAGTGGTTAAGAATCTGCCTGCCAATGCAGGACACACGGGTTCGATTCCTGGTCCGGGAAGATCCCACATGCTGCGGAGCCACTAAGCCCATGAGCCACAACTACTGAAGCCCGTGCCCTCTAGGGCCTGCATGCCACAACTACTGAGCCCGCGAGCTGCAACTACTGAAGCCCACGCGCCTAGAGCCCGTGCTCTGCAACAAGAGAAGCGACCGCAATGAGAAGCCCGCGCAGCGCAGTGAAAGGTAGCCTCCGCTCGCCACCACAACTAGAGAAAGCCTGCGCACAGCAACGAAGACCCAACGCAGCCAAAAATTAAAATAAAAAAAAAAAGAGTGGGGCTTAAGACTTGCATTTTGTTGGAGGAAAGAGGAAGTAGATTGGAGAAGGAAATGTTGAAACACAAGTAAGTAAGGTCCACAGAAATTCTGTTTGCTAAATGAGAGATAGAGATACAGAGTAAGAGAAATGTTCGCTTCGTATAATTTTGCCTGGGCAGGTATGCGAAGGAGAGATACTGAACATTAAAGGACCCTGTGTTCTTCAGCCTCCTGCATCACTGAATGACTCAAGCCTTGAAACAATTAGAACAAAGACCAGGGTATAAACATTTTAAATTAGATGACACTTTAAATTAAGCTGCACACTATAAGGGAACAGAATTTTCCACCCTAAAATATGTCTCTTTGGTATAAGGATTATTTTAGCCTGGTTAATTTTTAAGAATCAGCAGATATGAGAGGAGCTCTGAAAACCAAATAGAAGTCACTCTTTTGTAAGAGACATTTACAGGTAAAAGAGAAATCTCCATTTGTAAGGGTGTCTTCCTGCTGTACCAGGAAGCGGTGGGGGGGTGGGGGACGGGACTCATTCTCTAGAAACTCTTAGTGGTGGACAAGACAATGATAAGTCTGCAAAACAACATTATCTTTGGGCTTCCCTGGTGGCGCAGTGGTTGAGAGTTCGCCTGCCGATACAGGGGACGTGGGTTCGTGCCCCGGTCCGAGAAGATCCCACATGCCGCGGAGCAGCTGAGCCCGTGAGCCATGGTCGCTGGGCCTGGGCGTCTGGAGCCTGTGCTGCACAACGGGAGAGGCCCGCGTACCACGACAACATTATCCTTGTTTCCTGTGTTTTCCTGGTCATCTCCCATAGATTTCCCTCCCCAACATCTCCTTTTGTCTTTAGCCGAAGGTGATATTTAAGGTGATGGCCCCAGCCATTTTGGCAAGTTACTCAGTTTACCTGGGTCTCCGCCATGTATTACACGTGTTATTAAACTTTTGTTTGTTTTCTCCTGTCAGTTTGTCTTATATCATTGAATTATGAGATGAGCCAAATATCCTAGAAGGGAAAAAAGGAAAAAAAATCCACCCAACAACACCTTCCTGGAACTCGGGCCTCAACGAGTAGCCAGTGAATCTAGATTGGTCATCGTGCTCCAAGCATAGCTCCTCAGCTTTGCCATTTTTTCAGTGTACTTGGGAATGAGCAAATACCTGGGAGATGATGACCTCTACCCACCAAATTCACAAGAGATTAGTGTTAAACAGCAGTTCTGTAAGCAGATAGGGTAGGGGGTCCCTGGAGAAAGAGAACCAGGAAGGGTTTTCTTGACATAAGAGAAGCCATTTTAGCCTAAGCCATTTTGCGGTCTAAGCCTGGCCACAGGATCTTAAGGGAAGTAAGGGAATGCAGGAACAAAGGAAAAGCAGTCAAGAAACAATAGTTCAGCAATAAAACAGAATCTCAGTTCCTCCTCAAGGGACATACATTACAATCTGATAAAGTCTTTGCGTTCTCTAGGAACTAAGGCCCCCACACAGGTGGAGGACAGAATGATGCTGTTGACGTTCCTGACTTCAGTCAGCTAAAGCTTGGACTCTGTCAACCTTTCCCCAGTTCTATGCTGAATTCTCCTCTGCTCAAGCCCCTTCATGAATATGCATATACCCTTAGCTTAAAACTTCCCCAGTTTTGCTGTTCCAGGGAGACTGTTTTGGGAAAGATTCCCAGTGTTCTCCTTACCTGCTGCAAGTAATCATAAATCCTTCCTTCTTCTGCTCTTTGGCTTGGTTGTATCTTCTGGCTCGACATCCACCAAGAGACAAACTCAGTTTTTGGGTAATAGTTCTTCATCAACGATCATTTGACATGTGGGGAAATACTGGTTGTTTTTCTCACTTGATAAATGCTGCTTCAAAATGTACTGGCATATTCTGGTCTCCTAGAGTCATATTTTAGGGTTGTCTCTTCCGCTGTCCTACAATAAGTTTTCACAAATACCTCATTTTAAAAAACTCTTTAAAATTTGCTTTTAGGGACTTCCCTGGTGGCGCAGTGGTTAAGAATCTGCCTGCCAATTCAGGGGACACAGGTTCAAGCCCTGCTCCGGGAAGATCCCACACGCCGCGGAGCAACTAAGTCCATATGCCACAACTACTGAGCCTGCCCTCTAGAGCCCGCGAGCCACAACTACTGAGCCCATGTGCCACAACTACTGAAGCCCGCGCACCTAGAGCCTGTGCTCCGCAACAAGAGAAGCCACCGCAATGAGAAGCCCGTGCACCACAACAAAGAGTAGCCCCGCTTGCTGCAACTAGAGAAAGCTGCACGCAGCAACGAAGACCCAATGCAACCAAACATAAATAAATTTAAATTTAAAAAATTGCTTTTATTAAAAGGTTATAAGATGATGGTTCAAAACAGTATAGGAGGAAAATGAATTTAAGCACAATTCGTTATAAAAAATTAATAAACAGAAACCTTAATTAACTAGAGTTGGAAGACCAGAAGGAGGAGCTCTCACACCCTGTGACCATAGCTGAAGCAAACTGGAAGAAGAAAGAGTTGTCTTCTTTCCTGGCAAGGACTCAGCCAATGAAAAGCTATGCACTCTTTGTTTACTATAGCCCTCCCAATTTTCTTCTCCTCTCTGTTAAAGCAGTCTCTTTCCCTTGCTGTGCAGGGACTTGCACATGGCTTGCCATGGTTGCAGACCCCAAATTACAATTCTCTGCTGATCCTGAATAAACCTGTCTTTGCTGGAGAAATAGCTGGCAGTCTATTTGTTTCAGGTCTACATAGGATAATAGCCTTGTGTTGTTGCTTAGACTTTCTCACATCCACTTCCCCTGTTTGGAAAGAGGCATATTCATTTCCCTTAAGGAACTATCTTTCCCCTTTTTGTGTGCACATTGGTGGGGCTGTCCTTTAAGTTTCCTAATCTCCTCTACTGAGCCAAACAATAGTAATGAGACCCAAGGTAGGCTAACTGAACTGTCTCTTATAGGAGACCAGAATGTACCTCTTCGACATAGGATTATTTTGAGAAACAGTAGATAAAGGAGAAACTTTGAAAACAGAGTATAAATTACCCTTATGTAAGGGAAATTTACAATTACCAAGGAAATCTCTATTTGTAAGCATGTTTCCCTCTCTGTACAGGAAGAAAAAGATGACTCTAAATCACAAGAAACCCTCATCAATGGAGAAGCCACAGACTTAAATCTGCATAACAAACCCTATCCTTGTTTACTGTACTTTTCCTGGTCACCTTCCCATAATTTGCCTCCTCCACACTCTTCCTTCTTTGTTTTAGCTGAAGATGGAAAGTAAACCCAAGTTCTAGCCACCTCCTTGAGTTACTCATCCCTGAGCTTCTCCCATGTATATGTGGTATATTCATGCTAATAAACTTCTGTTTGTTTTTCTCTTGTTAATCTGTCTTTTGTTATAGAGGCCCTAGCTGAGAACTGAGAAGGAAAAAAGGAAAAGATGATTTTTTTTTCATTCTCTACACTGTCCTCAGAGTCTGAATCTCAAGTAGTGATGCAAGGATTTTTAAAAAATTTGAAGTGGATTCATGCCCATTTGGCACAGCTCTGCAGCTCACCCGAGCTTCTTGGGTTCCAGCTATTTCCAAAGACTGATCCTTCTGCTATATTTTTTCATATTGTAATCTCTCCCAGATTTTTCCAATAAATCCCCACCCTATTCCCACTACTACTGAAACAGGAGGGAAGCAGACAGGGCACAACCTCTAAAAGAATGACATAGCCCTTGAGGATATGACATAAACTGGTTAGAACCAACTAGATCCAAGAGAGCGGAAGATTTGACTTCCAGTGGACCTTGAGCCTCATTATACACTCACTGTAATACATTAGCATCTAAATGACACACCTACAGGTGCCATGACAGTTCCAAGGCTAACCATAAAATGTCAAAAAGTGGGTGGTGGCCCAGTTCCTAGAAATCTCCACCTCTTCCCCAAAATGGTTGGCATAATCCTCCCACTCATTAGCCTGTGAAATTTCCCAGCCCATAAAAACTAACCACCCCATATCTGGGGGCCTCTTGCCCTCTTCTGAGATGGTCCACACTCTGTCTGTGGAGTGTGTTTCTCCCAAGGCTGTTCTCGCCTTTTGAGACAGACCACGTTGTGTCTCTGGAATGTGTATCTCTCTAAATAGATCCACTTCTTACCCATCTCTTTTTTTTCTCACTGAATTCTTTCTGCCTTGAGTCATAAAGAACCTGAGCTTCATTAAGTCCTGAGACCAAGTGTGTGATCTCAACTAAAAGACAGTGGGTTCATGGGACTTCCCTCGTGGTCCAGTGGGGAAGACTTCATCTGTGTTCCCAATGCAGGGGGCCCGGGTTCAATCCCTGGTCGAGGACCTAGATCCTCCATGCATGCTGCAACTAAGAGTCTGCATGCCATGACAAAGATCCTACATGCCACAACTAAGACCCAGGGCAGCCAAAATAAATAAATAATTTTTTTTTTTAAAAAAAAGGCAGTGGGTTCAAGTCCCAACCTGGGTTGTGCAGTTTCACTATCACTTAAAAATTTCCCTCTCAAATTAGCTCAAATTTGTGTTGCTTGCAAACAAAATAAACCTAAAGGATAAACTCTATCTGCAACCTTTGTGATCCTCATCATGCCTTCTGCCATGCATACTAGTGCCTATCCTACAGGAAATACTCACTTTCTTTAGCCCAGCGTGTTGTCAAACCCAAGTTGTTGTGCCTGATACACTGTGATGTCAAACAACCTGAAACATCAAAGTTTGGAGCAGAGAAAGGTTTATTGCAGGGCCAAGCAAGGAGAAAGGGGTGGCTCATGCTCAAAAGACCTGAAATCTCTGATGGTTTTCAGGGAGGAATTTTTAAAGGCAAAATTTGGGGTGAGGGCTGCAGGGTGTGGGACTTTCTTCTGATTGGTTGGTGGTGAGGCAACAGGGTGGTGCTCCAGAACTTGTGCTCAGCTTGAAGCTACCATCCTCCACCTGGGTGGGAGCCTTAGTTCCTGTACAAGAATTCAAAGATACGTTGTTATGTATATCCCTTGAGGAGGAAGTAGCACTCAGGAGGACCTTATCTCAGAATCAAGCCTAAGACCAGTCTTAAGAACTTGGACATTGGGTGAAAATCAATGTCAGTCAAGAAAAATGGTTCTCTACAAAGAATGGGTAACAGAATCACTGTGGAGTTAATCAAATATAGATATGCAAAGACGTCCATCCCCAAGATTCTGATTCAGTAGGCCTAGGATCTTGGCATTTTAAAACTTTTCATAGGCAATTCTGATGTGAGGCCAGGGTTAGGAGACCCCTACTTAAGGACGTGGGTAACTCGGTATTGTTTTCCTCTGTAGTGGGTTTGGTGTACAATCAAGTTGTGGAACTGCAGAGAGAAGGAGGACTGTTCTAATACATAGGATGTAGAATAAGATATATGAGCACTAGGCAAAAAGACTTATTTTTTTACTCCTTTTTTATTAATTTTTATTGGAGTATTGTTGCTTTACAATGTTGTGAACAGACATCTTAAAATTTTTTTTTTCTTTAAGTGATGGACTTATTTGTTCAGAGCAATTTTAGATTTACAGAAAAATTGAGTAGAAAGTACAAAGAGCTCCCATATGCCTCTCTTCCCTCCCTCCTCTCCTAACCACACTGTTCACAATTTTCTTATTATTAATATCTTATTTTACTGTGGTACTTTTGTTATATTTGATGAACCAGTATTAATAAAGTCCACAATTTACACTAGGATTCGTTCTTCATGTTGTACACGTTTTGACAAGTGCATAATGTCATTGTATGGGAAGAACGTTTTCCTCAACACTCTTAGGGTCTCTGGCTGGGTCTGAAAATTCAACTGACAAAGACAGATCAATAGGAGAAAAGCATACAAATTTTATTAAATATTTACATGTACATGGGAGCATTCACAAGAGAATGAAAAATCCAAATACGTGAAAAGAGCAGGAAGCTTTTGTACCTTTTAGCCCAAGAAACAAGATATTTGTAAAGAATTGGAGACAAGACAAGACAAAGGGGTTTGGTGTATGGTTAGTAAATGGTGAAGAAGTAACTAGAAAGATAAGGGTTAGTTTCAAGATTCTTTCGCAGATTCCTCTGGTGCCCTCTCTGGGAGGTTGAGGGTCTGTCTCCAGTAAAAAGAGAATTTATTTTCTGGCTTTGGACAAAAAGCGGGGAGCTTTTTCTGCACTTCATGATTCTTAATTGCCTTCAGTGCAAAATAATTTTTATGTCAAAGAGCCATTTTTGGGGGGTTACATATTCTGATTTCCTTCAGCATGAACATGGAATATCTCTCCATTTATTTAGATCTTCTTTTGATTTATTTCATCAGAGTTTTATAGTTTTCCTCATATTGATCTTGTACATATTTTATGAGATTTATACCTAAGTATTTCATTTTTATTTGGTGCTAATATAAATGTTAGTTTCTTTTTTTTTTTAATTTCAAATTCCAGTTGTTCATTGCTGGTATATAAGAAAGCAATTTTCGTATATTAACCTTGTATCTTGCAACTTTGCTAGAAAAAGAAATACTTTTTATCCTAAAGATTATTGGAGCCATTAAAAGTACTGGGCAAGAGTGTTTCACTGTTATATTTATGCTCAAGAAATACTAATCTGGAAGTATTAATATGTAGAATGGATTGGAAGGAAAAGAGACTAGAGATAGGGAGTCCATGTAGGAAACTTTTATGTGAGTCCTCTATGAGACAATAAGGTTCTGAATAAGGATATTGCAGCACCAATGGAAAGGCAAGAACAGATTTAAGAGGCAAATACCCTAAATGTGCCCTTCTTCATATGTATGGGTCTCTTCACACAGTTTCCTCTTTGGGCTGCCCTTACCATCTTCTTCACCTAATTTCTAATTAATCTTCAAAACTCAGTGCCGGTGTTGTGCCCTCCAAAAATACCTCCTCTCTACTGTATCCACACAGTTACCTGTAGTTTCCTTGATCACAGCTGTAAGTGCTATTTATATTTGTTAATATATTGTGCATTGGTCCATTTACCTGACTGTCTCTTTCATTAGATCACAAGCTCCCGAATCAGAGTAGCCCAGTATCTGGCCCAATAAACATACATATAAAGGAATAATTCATTCAAGTCTATGTTTGAAGCTCACATACCAAGTACATGGCAGTTATTATATCAGATTTTCATGTGTATTTTCTCCTAAGGAAATGAAACCATAAAACTTCAAAAAACTGAAGCTTCAAGTCAGGGAGGAAGCACCAACTCATATCAGGAAGTGATCAGTTCCTCAAAACTGTGTTTTGAGTCTCACTGTTTCTTTAAGTAAGCTTTCTCTCCCTGCATTTACAGTGTTATTGACACTCATTAAACAGCAAGTTTGAAAGTCTAAGAGTCTCATCCACACTGTCAACAAGTTCATCTTCCAAGCCCCAGTCTTCTCTTTCCTAGGGCTCAGGACCCTTCCCCTGCCACACGCAGGCAGCCTTGCACACCTGGGAGAAGAACAACAGACGAAAGCTCTGAGCCTGGGACTAACTACTGCTGCTGTTCTCAGCGGGAGCCCCAGCGCGGAGACCTGGTAAGAGCAGAAGCCCCCAGGGCTGGGGAGAGTGGCCAGTGAAGATGGCTGGGAGATCCAGGTCAGATAGATGGAGGGTAAATATTTCAGGAGGGAAGAGACAAGGTTTCTGACATGAGGACCATCAAACGCATGAGTGCAGGACAAAGAGAAGAACGAGATCTACCAGTCAGAGAAAAGATCGTCTTACCTCAAATTCCTCCTCACTGGGCTTTAGTTTCTTTAGAATTGTGAGACTCGAGTGAGAAAGAAGATGGTTAAAAACAAACAAACAAAAAAGAGCTATGAAATCTTAAAAGGCAGAATAAAAATCTAAATGGTTATGAGTGATAATTTTGCTCTTATTGTTTTTGCTACTACCATTATTTTCTCTCTCCTTACACAGAAAAGATGGGGCCAGGTCTTCTGGGATGCTTTCCTCTCCTATTGCTGCTGGGACTATGGTGGTCAGTGTGTCCACTTTGTGCTTTGCCTAAGCATCTCACCAAGGCTCGCTGGTTTGAAATTCAGCATATACAGCCAAGGCTTCTCCAGTGCAACAAGGCAATGAGCAGTGTCAATAATTATACTCAGCACTGTAAGCCTCAAAACACCTTTCTGCACAACTCCTTCCAGGACGTGGCTGCTGTCTGTGATTTGCCCCACATCGTCTGTAAGAATGGGTGGCACAACTGCCACCAGAGTCCAAAGCCTGTTAACCTGACTCAGTGCAGTCTCACTGCGGGGAAGTATCCTGACTGCCGCTACCGAGATGGCACCCAATACAAGCTCTTCATTGTTGCCTGTGACCCCCCTCAGAAGAGCGACCCTCCTTATCCTTTGGTTCCTGTACACTTAGACAAGGTTGTTTAAAGTTTCCATCATTTTCCCTCTCACTTGGCACAAATTCTCTTACAATCTCTTCTGATTTTTCCTTTCTTTTGTTGATTTTCCTGGTTCCCATAGAAGGAAAAAGGAGGGTATTGGAAAAATTAGAGTGATGAGGATAGACCAGAGTTGGGACAAAAAATATGTAGGATTCTTTTCTGCTTTGGAGCTCTAGGTTTTGAAGGAAGATAGTAGGGAAGAGGGCAAAGAAGGGTCCAGGTCTCCATATTTTCAGCCTTAGAACTTCGGCCAACTTTTGTTGTATTGTGTTCACAGAAATAAAACCATGTTCTGCTGCATTCTAATGAGTGTGTGTATAAGTGTGTTTGGAAGCGTGTTCCCTTTCACATCATTGCCAGCCTGGAGCTATCTAGGCCTGCATTTACCAGCATTCCAAGGAGAACGATTTTGGTCCTAGGCAACCTTTGAAGTTATTTGGCAACCTGGGGCCTCTGCCACTCCCTCACCCCTGTGTCTCTGGGACTTTGGAGCAAGAAAATTCTCCATCCCTTCAAACTCTGCTCATGGCTTTACATATTTCCCTTGAAACCATTGTCTATGGTTGTTTGGAGGTGGCACTGATACTCAATGTTGATGGTATTTTCACAGATTCTAACGCTGGTAACTGAGGCATCCTAGATCTTAACTATTTGCCTCTATAATTAATCAGATAATGTTTTAAATATAAATAGTAGTAGGGATAATAATCCACTGTAGCCTTAGAGTCAATTCTCCTGTTGTCTATTGGAATGGACAAAGAGAAAGCATAGATCAAGGGGGGTAAAAAAAAAGCACTGGGACACTAAAAACATTCTTGCCCTACTCAAATAGTGAAATATCACAGAAACATTGGGGCTTTGGAACAGGTATCTGATTTAGAGATTGAAGGACTGGGATTAAGAATTTAGGTCCTATGTGTAGGGGAGGAAAAATAATTTTTCATAAACCCTTCTAGGTTTTTGGTTGAGATACCCCCTGTAATAAAAAGATAGATCAACAGGAAAAAAACAATTTTAGTTACATATGTACATATGGGAGCGCTACAAAGATATGAGACTCAAAAGACACAGGAAGCCCTGAGGAGCTTCAGGGTCCATGTTTATAATGGCATCCTGGGGCCAAGCCTGGTGCCAGGAGGATTAGCTCTGGCTTAGAGATGCCAAAGTTCCCAGGGAAAATGAGCTAAGTAGACAATTCAATACATATCTCTTACTCACAGGGTGTGGAAATAGAATTTGAGTATCAGGTCAGAGGACACTGTACTTTTTTTTTTTTTTTTTTTTTGCTGTATGTGGGCCTCTCACTTCTGTGGCCTCTCCCGTTGCAGAGCACAGGCTCCGGACGCGCAGCCTCAGCGGCCATGGCTCACGGGCCCAGCCGCTCCGCGGCATAGTGGGATCTTCCCGGACCGGGGCACGAACCTGTGTCCCCTGCATCGGCAGGCGGACTCTCAGCCACTGCGCCACCAGGGAAGCCCGACACTGTACTTTTAAAAAACTTTATATTGACTAGAGGATGTGGAGCCAGTAAAATATTATGCCCCTCTTACTGCTTTACTTACTGCCTTAGATGGATACTTTAACTAGTTCCATCGGGGTAAAAAAGTATACAATCGAAAACTGTTTCATTGATAAATTCAATACTGTGAATATTCTTTAAGTCACCTTTTTAATTTATAACGGTTTGTGTTTTTCTTTTTTTTTTCCTTTTTCTCTCTTTTATTATTCTTATCTTTCTTTTCTGTTTGTGTTTTTCTGTTTGGCTTTTTTGGTTTTTTGGAAGATACCATACTATCTAGACAGGGCTAATAGAAACAGAAAACGTGACGTCCACGTGTGAGGCAAGCCTACAGAGGAAAACCCACATATGGGGTGGCAAAAGCAAGGCCAAACAGCCTCACAGGAAGGGGGAAGCGTACGCTCATGAGGAGGGGAATTCTTCTGGAGCTCTTCACACTTTTTTTTTTTAGTTGCAGTGATCGGAGGCTACTCTTCGTTGCAGTGTGCCGGCTTCTCATTTCAGTGGCTTCTCTTGTTGTGGAGAAAGGGCTCTAGGTGGGTGGGCTTCAGTAGTTGTGGTTCACAGGCTATAGAGCCCAGGCTCAGTAGTTGTGGCACACTGGCTTAGTTGCTCTGCAGTATGTGGGATCTTCCCGGACCAGGGCTCGAACCCATGTCCCTGCGTTGGCAGCCGGATTCTTAACCACTGCACCACGAGGGAAGTCCCTCTTCACACTTCTTGATGGATTTTATTTTATTTATTTACTTATTTTGACCGCACCACACAGCATGTGGGATCTTAGTTCCCTGATCAAACACTTACCCCCTGCATTGGAAACACAGAGTCTTAACCACTGGACTGCCAGGGAAGTAACTTGATGGATTTTATAAAGTCCTTCCCTTGCCCTCTCTCATGGGCTAATTTCATTTTTAACGTGATGAATTACTTTTCAAAAATTAAACAATGTAGATACTTCCCTGGTGGCACAGTGGCTAGGACTTTGCTCTCCCAATGCAGGCGGCCCGGGTTCGATCCCTGGTCGGGGAACTAGATCCCATGTGCATGCCGCAACTAAGAGTTTGCATGCCACAACTAAGGAGCCAGCTTGCTGAAACTAAGGAGCCCTGGAGCTGTAACTAAGGAGCCCTGGAACCACAACTAAGGAGTCCGCCTACTACAACTAAGACCTGGTGCAACCAAATAAATATTTTTTTAAAAATTAAACAACGTAGATAAATACAAACCAATATATAGTACACAAAATAAATATTGTTTTTCGTTTACTTACTATCTAAAATATATATATATATATATACATAAAAACATTGGCGTCCATTTTATTCCTCTCTCCATTCCCATTCCTCTTAACTTTTCTCAGATGAAATTATAAATTTAAAGTGTTTCCAGTCCTATTTTTATACTTATATTTCATGTATAATATCTTCATAAACAAAACATAGGATTTCCATGTGCAATTTAAAAAGAAATTTATATAAATACTATCATATAGTACAAATCATTCTGCAACTTGCTTTTTTTGTTCACTCAACAATGTTTTTAAGACTCATCGATGTTAAAATGTATCTTTGTTGTTCTTTTATTTTTACTGGTGTATTGTTTGTTCCTTTGTATTAATAAACCATCATTTATTTACCAGTCGTCTATTGTTGAATATTTGGGATATTCCCAAATTTCCACCCTAACAAGCAGCATTGCAATGATATCTTTGTACATTTCTCTGTACAAAGAAACTTGTCAACTTACAGGAAGACACTCAGCATAAGAATTGCGTGTTTAAGTTGTATCCATGGTCTTACTGAGGACTAGAACTTTTTATGTTTGGGAAGGTGCAAGAATCAGGGGTCTTTGAAATTATTCTTGAGATACACGTCTAACTATCTAGGAACCTGTTTTTCCAAAGCACAGAGTACCTCATCTTGTTTTTCATTCTCAGTTCCCTGCAGGGTGCCCTGTCAGTGGTCGACTGCAGTGGGTTGCGACTTAATCCTTGTATAACTGGGTAATGAGTGATGTTCTTTGTTCTTCTTTGTTCACAAACTGATTGTAGCAGATTGTATTTTTCAGAGATGTCCATATCAACATATCCCATTCTACATGCTCTTCTTATAGTGTGATATTGACTCTTCTCTATCAGAAGGGTCTATGTTCCCTTTCCTTGAGTACGGGTTAGTCTTAGAAACTCCCTTCTAATGAATAGAATGGGATGAAAGTCACACTGTATGACTTCCAAAGCCAGGTCCTAAAAGGTGATACAGCTTCTGCCTGGCTTTCCCTCTCTGTTGTAGGACACCCACACTTGGACCCAATCATCATGCTGTGAGGAAGATGGTGCCACGTGGAGAGGCCTTGTATAGATATTCCAGCCAACAGGCCCAGCTAAGGTATCAGCCAACATCAACCATTCAACATGTGGGTGAATGAGCCTTCAGATGATTCCAGCTCCCAACCTCTGAGTCTTCCAGCTGCAGCCTCAGACATTGGAACAGAAACAAGCTGTCCCCACTGTGTCCTATCTGAACTCTTGACCCACTGGGAGCATAATAAATTATTGTTTTGTGCCACCAAGTTTGGGGGTAATTTGTTACACAGATAGACTAACTGAAGCATTGATTGTATAATATTGCCAGAAACTATGGTATGTGAGTTTTTGCATCTCAATGTCCTGTCTCTGGCAAAACATGAGAGTATCATGCTCCTGCATTTTTGGCAACCTGATGAGTATGAAATAGGACAACATTGTCATGTAGGCAAAAAAAAAGATGCTATTTGCATCTTTAGATCCTTGGTTCCTAGTACAATGCCTGACACTAGTGGGTTTCTTTTCATTTTATTTTATTTATTTATTTATGGCTGTGTTGGGTCTTCATTCCTGCGCGCAGGCTTTCTCTTGTGGCAAGCGGGGGCTACTCTTCGCAGCAGTGGGTGGGTTTCTCATTGTGGTGGCTTCTTTTGTTGCAGAGCACGGCTTCTAGGTGTGCGGGCTTCAGTAGTTGTGGCACGCGGACTCAGTACTTGTGGCTTGTGGGCTTAGTTACTCTGTGGCGTGTGGGATCTTACCAGACCAGGGCTTGAACACGGTTCCCCTGCATTGGCAGGCAGATTCTTAACCATTGCATCACCGGGGAAGTCCCAGACACTAGTGGGTTTCTTTTTATTTTTTTTTAATCTTTTATTTATTTATTTATTTATTTATTTATTTATGGCTGCGTTGGGTCTTTGTTGCTGCATGTGAGCTTTCTCTAGTTGGGGCGAGCCCCTACTCCTCTTCGTTGCAGTGCATGGGCTTCTCATTGCGGTGGCTTCTCTTGTTGCAGAGCATGGGCTCTAGGGCACACGGGCTTCAGTAGTTGTGGCACAAGAGCTCAGTAGTTGTGGCTCTCGGGCTCTAGAGTGAGACAGTTGATGAAAGTTGAATACAGTCTGTGGATTAGATAACTGTATAGTTTCAATGCAAATTTCCTGATTTTGATAAGTATACTTATTTTAAACCCTTGTAAAAAGAATGTTCTTGTTTTTAGGAAATGCATAGTGAAGTATTTAGGAAAAAGGGCAACATGTCCATAACTTACTCTCACACATTCAGAAAAAAATTTATGTATCTGTACATAAATATGTGACTAATAAAACAAATAGGAAAAATGTTAATGTTTAGAGAATATAGACAAATGATATACAGGAATTCTTTGTATCATTTTTGAAACTGTTCTGTATATCTGAAATTATTTCAAAATGAAAAGTTTAAAAATATTTTCAGGGGCTTCCTTGGTGGTGCAGTGGTTGGGAG